GAAGGCCAGGAGGTCTCCCCTCAGCCTCCTCTGCTCCAGACTGAACCCCCCCAGTTCCCCCAGCCGCTCCCCAGCAGACCTGTGCTCCAGACCCTGCACCAGCTCCGTTGCCCTTCTCTGGACACACTCAAGAAATTCAATGGCCTTCTTGTAGCGAGGGGCCCAAAACTACAGCCCAGTATCTGTGGTTGCAAGTGCTCTAGGCAGTGCCTCGGTGCACACCTCCAGTCTTGGTGCCACCAGCAGGAAAATTGCTTCTTGTCAGTATGTGCTGCATAACAGATGCAAATCTGCATCCAAAAATAATTGTTCCAGCTCACCAATTCACTAATATATTTTCCTTACGCTAGCTGAGCATTTTAGGAATCAGTTCTGGAGACAAAGCAACTGCAAAGCTTGAGCTGTCCCTGAAGGACTTGATGAAAGTAATAGCAGACAGCTATGTAATTCCTCATGACTGTGTTCACAGCTGAGGAATTTGGGGGTTTCCCACACCAGATTGTGGTTATAATTTTGAGGAGCGGTCACAAGTTCAAGCTGCAGCAAAAGAGGTTTAGAATCACTGAAATGATTTGGCGGGTCAGTGCATCCAGGTGGTGGTTGGCCTCAGGTATAAAAAGAAATTGGAAATTTCTTGCAGGCTGGTGTCACAGGTAAGCCGTGATTTAAATTGACCCTGGTACTGGAGGAATGAAAAGTGGGCTGCTTCTGTGCTTAAGGTCTCTCCAAGATGAGCCAGAAGGAATATAGACAGGTTAGCTCTGGTGGTTTATGCTGCAGATTGCTTATCAGAAGTTAGTAGACAGCGTTTCAGAGAACTGTTCATGTAACTTTAGCAGAGGAAACTCATGTCTTGCACACATAATACAGTTTTGTGAAGAGAGCGGGTGCATAAAAGGGAGCCAGGTGCTGTGGAATAAGAGGAAAGTTTTCTCTTCCGAATGAATAAGTGGTTATAGATAAGAAATAATAGATACAAATGACTGGGCAGTTTTTGCAGTGAACGGAGGTTACCAATTACCCGCCTTGGGAACCTGTGCAGTGCAATGTACTTCTGAAAGAGCTGGGAAAGGGAGACAGACAATAGTGATGTGCCAAAATCTGCTGATGGTATAGAGTTATTCCAGGTAAGCAAAAGTAGACATGACTGCAAAAAGTTGCAGAAGAATCTGACAATATCAAATGTCTGGGCAATAAAATAGCTGCTGAAATTCCACGTCGATAAAAGTCAAGTGCAGACACAATGATAGGGTTTAAATTAGCCCGCGAAAGAGGTCCTGGCGTCATTGCAGATGGTTCTTTGAAAACGTCTGCTCAGTGCTCAGCAGAGGTCAGAAAGGCAAGTGGAATGCTAAGAATTGCTGGTAAAGAAATGGAGAATAAAAGAGAAAATGTAACTGAATAAATCCGTGGTGATCTTGAATAGAGTGCAATTCCAGTCACCCCATCTCAATGCAGCAGTAAAATAGAACTAGAAAAGATGCAGAAAAGGGTGAGAAGGCTGACCTGAGTTATGAAGTGGGGACTCAAAGCCTGTGAAGCTCCCGAAGAAATGAATGAGCAGGATTAAGGCAGAGGTGTAAAATTGGGATCACTATGGAGAGAGTGAATAAGGAATTATTTTTTGCAGCAGAGGATGTAATGACGTGATCAGGCAAGCAGTTTAAAGCAAACAACAGGAAAAAGCTTTCTCAGGCTCTAATAAATTAGGAATTAGGAAACAAAATCCTTTACGTGCTGGAAGTACAGGTTGTTTAAAAAAAAGTAGTAGTGCTGAGGTTCCCTGCGCTGGCTCCAGCATGGTCCTCCAGCACTTACCCTGATGTACCGAGCTGGCCATGTCCCCTCTGTCCTCTACAGCTGGGTGAGGTTTGGGTTCTGGCTTGGTTTGGCCTCTCACCAGTAGAACCTGCCAGGTTTTTTGGGCTGGATTATAATCACTTAAAGAATCTTTTTGATCTCCTAGTGTGATCTCTCCTATGACAAAAGCCAACAAAAATCCCTTGAATGAATTCATGAATTAATTCTCTTTGAATTCCAGCAGAGTATTTTTGGGGAAAAAAGATCCACCAGTACTTTAAAACTTCCCTGCAGTGAATAAAATATCCCAAGGGTTAACTACACTCAATTTGGTCCTTCCCATTTCTGCATGCAAAGGCTGCAGTAGCCCTTTTGGCTGCAGCATGATAATGGGAGGTCACGTCAGATGGCTCAGGAATTTTGAGACAGCGAGGACTAAAAAGTCTGCTTAGAACAGGATTATCATCAAATTATATGTGCCTTGGCAGCAGGAAATCAATCAAGAGTGGGCTGATTTACACCTGCCGGAGCCAGCACATCATGAACTTCATCATCTTTCCCAGTGATGTTTTTATCTTTGCATTGACACAGTCAGTGCGAGGAAAATATTTTCCCGTTTAAAATCAAAACATTCAAGGTAGTGTTTGGCAGAGTGTCGAAGCCTGGGGTTCCCGCTGCTTCTGACAACAGTGCTGGTATCTTTTGCTAATGACCAAAGTGCAATATAATGAGTTGTCTTGGGCTTCTGCTTTATTCAGCGTGCGGTGTTTTAATGGCCTGTTAGTAATGCTGAAAGGGATAAATGGTGTTTATGCCCTCTTGTGGTATGCTATTGAACAGAATGGATTTTCTAACTGACAAAATTAGGCCAGTGATGGAAAAGTCCCAGGTAAAAATCTGTAACGAATACTGTTTTGCACAGTAGAAAAATATCTACCCCTCCAGCAGCATCCTCATGACTCAGTCAAGGGGAGCAGCAGCCAATTTTACATGCATTTACGGCAGCACGTAAATGACTAATGCCCATGATGACAGTTTGTGCCATCTTTCTGGAGTGAAGATAATTTTAAAAGTGCTTTTCTTTGCTAGGAGGGTTAGAAAGTAAGTGAAATACTGCTTTCTGAAAGCAGTCGACACCTCTTTGTGTTAGTTGTTCCCAACGTGTTGTGATACATGCCCTCACGTTTTTTTTTATTTTCTTCGCATCACATCTGACAGGGAAATAACCTGATTCCCTTGGGACAAAGCCTGTCCCAAAGATGAAGGACAGTCTTTGGTGATTTCACATGGTGAAATAAGAACGGATTCCTGTGAAACTGAGCTTGTTACCCTGCTGTGTTCAAATACACTGAATTAACTAGTTGACATCAACCTAACCTGCACTGAGAATTCAGAGGTAGGGTTGGGAACCCAGGGGCTCCCCAGGCAGGTCAGTCACGGATTTTGTGTCCTTCTTATTACTTTATTCCTGACTGAAAACTGAATACAGCAAAATGTATCCTCCAAACCGTGAAATTACCAGGATATCTCAGACTAATGCTCTACAAAGGCCAGCAACTGATGTCAGACTGTGGCCAGTACTTAGCTGTGCTGAGGCAGGATCTAGGAAACCCTGTTGTAGGAAATTTGAAGACTTTTTGGTCCCAAATAATCACCTATTATTTGTTAGGTAATGCTGCGAGGAAGCATTATTTCCATTACACGTCATCTTTCTCTCTGCCCAGCCACCAGTATGTAGAAGACTATTGCAAAGAGGAAGGGAATTAATTCTTCTCCACATCCATGATAATCACAACCACAATAGTGGGTTTAAATGGAAATAGTGGGCTGAACTGGGCTGAGCTTTAGGAGAAACTCTCTAACAGGGTGGTAAATATCAGAGTGGCCTCCTCGAAGAAACTGGAGGCTCTTCATCTCCGAAAATCTCTCAGAAACAGTTAAACAAATGTTTGCTGGGAGTAAGGCAGCTATAATTCATCGTATCATGATAAGAAGTTGGACTTGATGCCTCACAACAGGTCTCACCAGCTCCATTTTTTGTGATTCTGTGTGATGATTTCCTTTTATTTTTTAGTATGACAAGAAGACACATATTTACCTGATCATCTTAAATACTGAGCCTTCATTCTTACAGTTGATCGTACCGTCAGGTCTGACTGATGGCAGTGCAATTCTATCTGTGTCCAGTATTTTACAACTGTACTTTGCAGCAGTAGCCTGACACTTATTAAAGTGTTTATTAGGTTATTGTAGACTTGAGTGAGCACAAGTTATGTCCCCACTGAGATAAGAATTGCCTCCAAAATGTTGGTGCTTACCACTTTCCTTACAAAAGGAAATTTCAGTAGGAGAACTGTCATGGCAATTCATGTTAAAAAGAAATTCCCTTTGTCAGAAAGCTGTCAGGAGTTTCAAATTCAGTTAGGGGATATCAGAAAGAAATTAAAGTCTCATTTAAAATCCCCACCCACATTCCTTCTCCTCCTCCTGCAAAGCGATTATTGCTCCTGGTCCGCGTATTGTCAGAACTTTCAGAAATGAGACATAATTTGCCTTAAAACTACCTTGCTGGTCATGATGGAACCGTTCTTTTTGAAGAATGGGTTTGCAGTGACTCTGTAAAAAGAGCCCCAACGCTCTTACTTCTCAATGACATCAGTGGGGCTAAAATTTCACCCAGAAATTCTTCTTGGCGTAAGGACATTTGGGGTGGGTAGCACATTTCAGACCAGAGGCACCTGCCTGGGGAAGTTCTTGGACATTGCAAAGTGTGCTCTGCTGCCTTTCACTGTTATTTTCCACTTTCATCGATGACACCACATCCCTGCTTGACGTGGTTAATAAAGAGGAGAGAACGAATGTGTACCCATGGCAAATTAAGCAAATGAGCCATTAGAACAGGAGGGCACACTGCCTCCTCCCACCAACGCCTACGTTGGTGCCTGCAGTGTCTCCTAGCAAAATGGGAGCAAGGATAAACGGCTTTCGGGGGGTGTGTGGTCCAAATGCTGAGAGATGTCTGTGGCTCCTGCTGAGAGAAAACCTTAAAATCATTCATCAGCGGAGAAGCCAGCAAACCGCTAATGGCTTTCCATCGTGTTTCTTGACAGGTATTGACGGAGGGCGGTTTTGGTCCCATCACAACAGAAATCCGGGAGGCTCCAGAGTTTTATTACGCCGAAGATTACCATCAGCAGTACCTCAGCAAGAACCCTGGTGGATACTGCGGCCTCGGGGGAACGGGGCTTTCCTGCCCTATTGGGATAAAGAAATAGCCTGCACTTACTCCACCACCTGCACTTTGTTTTAGGGAGTTTGAAAAAAAAGACCGACAACCCTGATAGGTGTTAGAGTGCGTCTGCAGCATCAGTGCATAAAGATCTGGGAAGCTCTTGGGGTGGCTTTCCATAATTTTAGCAGTTTCCCGTTCACCGATATTTAAAGCCAAAGTAGAAACAGAAATTGTGCCTGTTGGCAAATGCTCTTTGCAGCTCACGGGTTTCCTTGCAATCTTATAATCTGGAGAGAAAATAAATTTCTAAAAGGCTTGGCTTGAAATGCTGTTAAAAGGATGAATTAGGAGGTGGTTGCACCTGCTAACTGCTTTGCATAGCTAATGCCTTCAGACATGTTTATTTTCTTGGGTTAATGAATTTGCTCGTGTTATGAGAGCTTTGACTTCTGGAGACATGGTTGGGCTCATTTTAACTATCACAACCCTGTAATTTGATGTCTTTGAGAATGGTGAATTTGTAAGATCAGTAATTCTCTCACAATTCCACTTCCACAGTAATGTGTAATATCACCTGTAGTGCCTATTTTCTGAAACAATTTTAGTGAGAAAAACTAAAAATTGTAATGTGATACTTCTTTCTGACAGTTCCACAAAGTGTACAAACACAAAAAGAAATCAATTTAGTTATCTGCATTACAATAAATTAAAAAAAAAAAAAAAAGAAAAGAAAAATGTTGTTTGTGATGCGTTCCATGACTCTAAGTATGTATCTGGGTAGATCTAAAAAAAGTATCAAATATTATAAAAGGCTGCAGCCTGCTAATTAAACACGAGGGCTTTTAAATCGATATTATTGTGCATGACAGTACAGAGGAGTAGAGTTCTTACTGGTTGCACTGTAACATGATTATGCCTGTGATTAATTATTTGTACTTCGGTACCTTGTGGAACCCCCACAAAGACCAGAGCTCATTGTGGCAGGTGCTGTGCAAACCTCACGTCAGGCAGTCTCTGCCCCAGTGTGTGTACAGTCAGAAGAGCAGGGACGGCCAGAAAAGAGGCAAAATAAATGTTCATTTTATTGCCGGGGTTCTCAGAGTGGAGACTAAACGCTACAGCCAAAGGACATAGGGGGTGCGGGGGTTATTGTATATGGACATGGGGTCCTTTGGGTTATACAGACGCTATGGAGTATCCTAGGACAAACAGCTTCAGGAGGAGGGACGGGGCTGGGTTTGTCCCTCCCATCCACCTTGCTGCTTGCAATACTGCCCAGCGTGGTGGGAGGTGTGGGCTTGAGCCTCCTGTGTGTTCCCTATTTTGGAGGCTGTCTTCATCAGTCAGTTCAAAGAACATGTGTCATCGGTGTGTCCTCTTGCAGCTGTGTCCATCTGGGCAGCAGAGCACACGAAGCCATTTCTGAGATCTCTGGGTGGGGACCCAGAGACGCACATCCGCAGCTTTTCCTTTTGGGAAGCTCATTTCACTCCTCTCCGTATTTACTGTCTCCTGCTCACCAGCTCAGGTTTTAGGCTCAGAATGGCCCAAAACAGCTCCCTCAGCATCCCCTGTAACTACCCAGCAGATGGGATCTTGTTCCAAGCTTTGGAATGACTGAAAATGTGCATCATATAGTCAGGCTTCAGGTTTGTAAACCCCCTGCTTTATCCAAAGACAGGCAGCAAACGCGTGTCAGAGAAGTCAGCTCCCCATCTTCCCTTGCTCCTCAGCTGATACCGAGTTCATTCCAGTCTCAAAAACCAGAGGAAAAATGCTCCCTCTGGCAGGCTTGCCATGTTAGACTTTTTCTGGAGGTGCCCCAAGCTGTTGCCCACATCACATTTGGCACATTCGGAATTTCCAGTTGCTGTGGTAACTGATCGCCTGTCCGTAAGGTGTTGTGACACTGAATTGTTCTAGTGCTCACTGTCAAGGAAACCAGCACTTTTGTCTAATTTCCTAGGCACTAGGTGACATAAAAGCAAAGAAGAGAGGAAAACAAAATTCTTACTTTCATCCCATGCATTTTCAACCTCTGCGTTAATTCAGACTTCAGTGGGATAACTCCTAATTTGCTCCAATGTACAAGGCAAAACACTTTATACACTGAATCATTCGGGTGCTCATAAAATGTTGCTTGGTTCCCTTCTGTCCTTTCCCTTCCTCCCCTCCTACTCCACGCTATAGTTATTGTTTTGGAACAAGTTAAAAAGTCTTTGGAAAAAGCACCACACTTAATATAGCCGGGCTCAGGTCTGAACCTGGCTGAGGTTTTTTTTAAGTGCTGTCCTGATGGAAATAACAAGTCAGTTTAAAAATCAGCATTGATGGGTCCACTGATACTAAAACTGGCCCACACCGAAATATTGTGCTGCCACATAATTAATTATGGAGTTACTGTAGGGGAGAATTTTGGCCTTGAGCCCTTGCAGTTGCTTCTGAAGGTACAAAGAGTATCAGGGATATAATCAGTAAAGGTGAAACGCTAATGATTCAGCCTCATGGATTAGTTTTTGAAGCTGGATTTGGTCTTGTAAGCCACCCTTGCCCGCAGGGAAGAAGGAAGTGTCTGCCTCAACATCTTTGATACTATACTTTTGATTTGGGACTGTTTGAAATTTACCCTACCACAGAGCTGCCTCTCTCTTCTGGGAACGTAGACATGGTCTATATGAAGAGAAAATTAATTCAGAGTTTGATAGGCTTCAGCACTTCTCAGAGTTGAAGATGAAAGCGGATGCAGGACCAGCACCTAAGGTCTTCAGAGAGAACACGGTTCAAGATCCAAAAGGCTGCAGCACCCAACTCCTAAAGTCTATTGCAATACCCTGTGGAAGTCAGTCCAGGCTACAGACAGGAATTTTACTGCTGCCCTTTCCCTACCATAGCCAAAGAAATCCCAGGCCTCCTGGAAATCACGCCCATGGCTTTAGGAGGGAGAGCATCCAGCTGACGTCACAGAACCAGGTGAGCTGTGTGAGGTCACCTCCTGGTTGCCTGGCAGAGACGTGTTGCCTCTGGCGAGAGCATCGGAAGGGGAAACTATCTGAGGTGTCTGCAGAAATCCCGCTCCTCTGAATGTTGTCGAAGAGCATGTTGGTCCAAGACTGGGGTTGAAATGTGGATCCTTACTCTCCTCTGTTTAACTTCTCTGATCATCAGCACCGATGCGAGTTTTTCTCAACTTTTTCAGTTCGGGAACGACCAGCAGAACAGAACTGCTAGTGGCCTCACAGAATATGCACGTATTGGTAAATGAATTAAGCCTGGCCTTATTCCTTGTACATACGGCGATGCTGAACTCTTCCACTCATACTCCCTAAACGGATTTTATCCAGCCTGCCTGGGGGAAATGGCCTGTGGCCCTGCTAGCCCCCAAACTGCCTGGGCACTGCTTGGCAGAGTGCAGGTTTGGGGAGGCTACTTAATGCCAGGGGCTTTGGTAGAGATCAAGTACCACGGATAATTACAGACCAGTGCTTTAGCTGATGTCCTGCTCCTCTAGTTCAGCAGCACAGGTAGCAGCAGCACTGCTATACCTGAGCACTGTGTCTCATTTTGTCCCCAGATTGCGGCCTCCGACCATCTTATGAGTCCTTTCTAAAGACTGGCAAGAGGATTGCAGAGGGGAGATATGCCTGGAGAGGAGAGTTCCCCTGGCACGTGAGCATCCAGAGCAACGGGAGACATATCTGCGGAGGCACCATGATCAGCGCATTGTGGATCTTAACTGCAGCCCACTGCTTTGCAGAATTGCTGTAAGTACTTTAAGGACATTGAATTTCTTGAGTGTGTCCAGAGAAGGGCAACGGAGCTGGGGCAGGGTCTGGAGCACAGGTCTGCTGGGGAGCGGCTGGGGGAACTGGGGGGGTTCAGTCTGGAGCAGAGGAGGCTGAGGGGAGAGCTCCTGGCCCTCTGCAACTCCCTGCCAGGAGGGGGCAGAGAGGGGGGATGAGTCTCTGGAGCCAAGGAGCCAGCGCCAGGCCCCGAGGGAATGGCCTCAAGCTGCCCAGGGCAGGGTCAGGCTGGCTCTGAGGAAGGATTTCTGTGCAGAAGGGGCTGTTGGCCGTTGGAATGGGCTGCCCAGGGCAGGGGGGAGTCCCCGGGATCCCTGGAGGGGTTGAAGAGTCGGGCTGAGCCAGCGCTGAGGGGTCTGGGGGAGTTGGGAACAGTCAGGGTGAGGTGAATGGTTGGACTGTATGATCTTCAAGGTCCTTTCCAACCTAGATGATTCTGTGATACTTGAGGGAAGCAAGGACAGCCCAGGCACTATGGAGTTGATAACATCACTCCTTGTGGGTGTAGGACACGTCTGTCCCTGAGGTCTAGTGCAACATATATGTGCCTGAGCCAGAAAGAGAGCCCTGAACAATAGAAGTGTCTCATTTGGGGAAAACAGGCCCATTTTTGATCAGTGTTACAACAGAAATGTGCAGAAATCTGCATAACCAGGACATGCAGAAGGGGAATATTTGGAAGGATGATATGAGCAGCCTTGCATCAATGCTGTTCTGATGGTCCCATGCACTTCCGGTACATCTAAACAGAGGTGTATTCCATTCCAGCTTACACTAACCCCCAAATTACCTTTATCTCATGGTTTTCTGGATAGATCAACCCCATGCAGTGCCCAGGGGCAGAGTCAAGCCCTCTGTGAACCCCCTCCAGAATTCAGCAGGTCCGAGAGCCGAGACTGCTTGGTGACAAATGACCTGTGGCATCACAACCTGGAGCAGCTGGCTGGAGGCAGCACGGTCCTGAGCAGCCAACCCAGGGCACGGTGATCCCAAACATCCAGCCCACCCCGTCTGTTCGTTAGCAACTGGGCTATTTATAACTTGGTTGCATTCATGTTCTACCTCTATACCTCTCTCCCCTGAAAATTAGCTTTGCCTAGAAGTGAAGGTAGATTTCTGCAATATTTATAGCTAACCTGCCTCTAATTTGCTGAGCACCACTCTACCCTGCTCAGGGGGAAGAGGCACCAACTTTTATAACACAAAGCTTTCATGTCTACACTGCTTTTGTTTTCTTTCTCAGGCCACCAGCTCTCACTGTCGTAGTGGGGGGAACTGACCTCAGCCTCCCGCTGGAAGAACATAAGCTGGAGAGCTTGATCATCCATGAAAACTTTGACAGAATGAGCATGGATAACGACATTGCTCTGGCCCTGCTCAGCTCTCCCATCGAGTTCAGCAGTCAGAAGATCCCCATCTGCTTGCCCTTCATACAAGACGTCAACACGTGGCAGCACTGCTGGGTTGCTGGGTGGGGAACCACACACGCAGGTGAGATGCTGTCGGGAGATGTATTTGCTAATGGAGGCTGGGTTTTTATCCATATAAAGTAGATGTTCTCCCCCAGGAGGGGTTACCCACACTAAATTCCACTCCCTACCTCCCTGTTAAACACCTCCAGACCCTCACAGCCTCCAGCTCTCTGCAAGAACCAGTTACCAACTGACCCCCAGAGCAAAGTCCCTGGTACTCTGAGCATGTATGTTCAAGCTGAAACCTTAGACCCATCTTTGCCCTGCAGGAACTCAACCTTACTTTAGATGCATTTTGTGGCATCCAAAGTATGACAAGCTCCACCCTGGTGGGCAAGTTAGGCTGAGTCTAAAAGCAGTCTGAAATCAGGGACATGCAGGTCTAGGGTTGTCTTTGGCTTAATGCCTCCACAAACCAGATTGATTCAATGGTACTGGCCACCCCTCTTCTTCACTCATTTACAACAGCAGATTGCTATTGCTAATTGCTCTCGTTTAAGCCCTAATGAAAGTAGCTCCAGAACTGATTGTGGCCCAAAGTGTGTATCCTGAACAAATGTCACTAAATGGCTAATGAGCTGTGTCATTATTGGAAAGCGGTAATTGGGACAGAGTGGGCAGGGTGGTGCCTTGGGGCTTTAGCAGTCCTTCCTAAAGGGAACGTCCCATTTAATCCTTGCTCTTCTGCTCCGCAGGGTTACTGTCTCCTCTCTGAAACCCTGCATTTTCCTTCTTAGGCTTCATTTGCCTCATGTAACAGTAATACACAACACAAAGCTGTGTTAGAGTTGCGAAACTCTCCCATTTCACCAAGGTAACACGCTCTTAGAAACAGACAGGCAGAGGGCTGCTGCAGAGTCACTCTGCAGCTTGGCAGGATTTATCTTTAGCTAGTCTCTTTGCAAAATGCGTGGTGTGGCTCCGGAGATCGGTCTCATGCTGTTGTGTGGGCTCAGTTGACATTGTTTCTGCTCTCCAAATACACCTCGCGGGAGGTCAGCGCGCTCAGCCCTGGCACACACCCCTTCTGTCTGGGAGATATTTCAGAAGAAAACCAGAAGCCGAGTTTGGCGAGAGAGACATGCGATGGTGTGATACGGGCCATACCATTTCTCATCTCTACCAGCCTTTTGTAGGTGGACATCTCTGAACTGGCACCTCAGGCAGCACTAGCCTGGTTCCCATTCAGCTGCAGTCAATTAGACCTCAACAAGTGAAGCCACCTCTTTGGAGGTGCCTACATCAAAGCATTTTTAATCTCTGGATGTTTCCATGGAGCAGGCCATGGAACTCAGCTGGGAAAGGGACCTGACATCTTCCTATCTTTTAGATCTTACCTTTGAGTCCCACCTTCACAATGGTGCTGGGAGGATTTAGGTCAATGAAATATGTAAGAAGGAGTGAGTTTCTGAAAAATCTGTAGGTCTCCTCTCCAGCAGCATCATCCTCCAAAAGTCAGTTTTATCCTTCAGACTCCAGTTCACTTTAAAGAGAAATATGGGTGAAATGAGTGGGTTTTCCAAGTAGCCCTGTCTATTTTCAGACTTTTTGCCACCTGCTGGTGTCCACTGTAATTTCTGTTTTCCCATCTCAAGGGAAGAACAAAGCCGTTATTTCCTTTGCGTACTGCCATCCTGAGGGCCACTTTGTGAGAGATACAGCTGGTCCCCAGGGTGAAGCATGGCCTCACAGCCCCCCAGAAGAGCATGGGGAGAACGAGGTCACCTGTTCTGGGGAAAGCTCAGTGGACTTACCTCCACAGGGCTCACACAGGACCCCAAGAAGATTCCCTCAGACTAAGTCCCCCAGAACTGGGAGTGAGTAACCCAAGGTGTGCAGTATGTCTCATCTCAGATCATCACCAGGACCAGCAGGATAAGTCATTCCCTTGGGGATCTTGCAGCTTTACTACATCCCAGAGATCATCTACAAAAATAAGTGATCTTTTAAAATCCTATTTAGCAAGCCTCCACTGCCCAGAATTTTGGCTTTACAGATTAACACCTCCCCCTTTTCTAGATATTTACACACCTCCTAGTCTGACATAAAGGCAACAGCAAAAACTTATCTTTGCTAACACTTGGACAGCCCCTGTAAGCTCCTAAGAGCTTACAGTTGCACCCTGAGACCCTCTTGCCCTAGAGATGCTTTACAAATCCAGCTGAGAGCAGTCCCAAGGGCTATTCTATGGCAGCAGTTTCACCCTTACGAGTCTGCAGGTTTTGTTAATCATTCTCTTCTCGTTTGCTGCTTAACAGCAGGGGTGTCAACATCCCTGGTGCTGCAGAAAGCGCGGATGAAGCCCATCAGCAGGGAGCAGTGCTTGGAGCAGATCCTGCAGGTAGAGGAGAACATGATGTGTGCTGACCTGGAGGAAGAAGGAGGTCCCTGCCAGGTAAACAGGCTCCCAGATGGCCATGCTGCCTATGGGGACACAGACACATTGCAGGAGATGTGCCTTTGCTTCAGGAATGAACATCAAGCCTTCCCATGGCCTCCTGGGGTTGCTAAAACTTCTCTGCAGAAGGCCAGGGCGGGATGCCCAGGGGCCAAGGAAGTGCCTGCAAAGGCATGTTGACCTGGGCAGTGTGGGTGCCGGACTCTTGGGGCTGGAAAGCAGTGATGGTGCTGGAGACGAAACACCTTGTCGAGCAGATGGGCCTCTCTTCATGCTCCCACCCCCCAGCCCTGATTCCCTCCCTGCAGTGAGAGAGACAGGAGCTCTGCAAGGGAAACTTCGAGCTGAAAGGAGGGCAAGGGAAAAGGGTGATTTCCAACAAGTTCCCATCCACAGTTTGGATGGCTCTGTCCCAGGATTTTGGACTGTTACCTCATAGCATTTTAAAAACCCAGTGTGTGCTGTAGCCAACCTGTGCAGTGGTGGGAGTGATGGGGGACAGGTCTCATGTCCCTTCAGAGAGGGCTCAGCACAGCATGGCCTGTGTCCTCCTCCTGCCTGGTGTCCCCTCAGCCCTGGGCCAGGCAGTGCCGCCCTATCACCATGTTAAACGCTGAAAGGAGGCAGGAAAGTTTGTCCAGGAGGGTCAAAGCAAAATAATTTGGAGGGAAATTTAATCCAGAAGTGTTTAATTTGGGTATTAGAAACCTTTCTCAGGTGAGGTCTTGGCTCCAATCCACATGTCCTTTGGCAGGTTGGTCTGTGGGTGCCAGAACTAGTCACATCCTATCGCAGTGAGTTAGTGATACAAGGTGATGAACCTTTCAAGCTAAATTATAAAGCGTTTGAGCCGTATTTGACATCAGGGACTGCAAAAGGGAGAGAGCTGACACCCCCAAATGTGGGAAAACCTTCCTCAGAACTTGTACCTTCAGAACCTCTCCACCCGCAGGATTGCTGTCCTGATGTCAAACAAAATGAAAGCCAAAAAACACCTTTTCTTTCACTGCATCCAATGTCCAACCCCTCCTCCGAGAGCCTGGTAAGCACTAGGCTCTCCTGCAGACTCTGCTTCAGGACTAAGGTCTCCATCCTCCACGGGGCAAGGGTTTCCCTAGATGTGTGCTTGTGTTTGCAGGGGGGCAGATGGGAAGATAGGTAAGCACAGCTTCATCCTGTAGGAAACATTCATCGAGGGAACTAAAACAACACCCAGGACAGAGAGACATCCCCTCCCCTTTTAGGCAAAGGCAGCAGGTACAGGGACCGTGGACTGCAAAGCTGTTGTGAGCTGGGCCTGTAGCTGAGCAGCAGAGGGGAAATTTGCTTCGCAAGATCATTTTTTGATTAGCCAGAGAGCATCTGTCTCTGGAACCATTTATCTAGTGACTTTCACCTCCATTAAATTAAATCAAAAATTTTAAAAAGAAAACTGCCACAAGATAACATTAACGTGATTAAAGAACGCCCTTCCCAGCCCAGCCTTAAGTTCTGTGGCTGAATTATGCTGGTGAAACAGCAAGAACACTTGTACCCAGAAAAATGAATCTCCTGTATTCAGAAAGCTGATGAGGGTGCTATTTTGATCTACAATAATGTTAGAGTCTTCTGAGAAATGAACTAGAAATGTGAGCTTTCCAGGCAGAGGAAGTACACAACAACTGCACGTGTGATAATGCTCATAACCCCACACCTGCCCACCTTTAGTGGAAGCTTGACCAGGCAGGAATGTCTCACCAGCTGAAATAACGAGAGCAAGACCAAACCATACCCTAGACTAGTGGAGCTCTTCAGGAGGGAAACAGGTGGCACGACTGTTCATAAGAATTTGCGAATTGGCTGGAGGGGAAGCAGTTTGCTGATGGATTTTGTTTGGGGAACTGCTGATTGACATCTGGTAAGGCACATGCTAGGCTGGTTCAGAAATCTGGTGGCTTGCCTGTAGTAGGCTGCCTGGTAATGAACTGGGAGGCCAGGTCTGCAGCTCTGCTTGCTCTGCAGCATGGACAACTGGACACCCACATCATCTGCCCTGGGCAGATAGCGAGGCACGCTGTAGACCGCAATCTATTGAGCTATGCTTGTCTGTAAAGATGGGGTTTGTGTCAAATGAGAGTGAGGTCATATTTCAGAAAACCTAAACCCTTTACAAAGTCAGCGCTGTCAAGGAGTTGGAGCAGCCCTGGGCACGGTTTTTGTGTGTGCCAACCAGCCGTCTCCTGGATGCTTTCCAGACACAGCTCAAGCTTTTGCATGGGTCAGGAGCCACCCACAATAGAATCACAGAATTGCAGAATGTTTCTATGACTTTCACAGAATTGTCTAGGTTGGAAAAGACCTTGAAGATCATCCAGTCCAACCATTGACCTCACACTGACAGTTCCCAACTACACCAGATCCCTCAGCGCTGTGTCGATCCTGCTCTTAAACCCCTCAGGGATGGGGACTCCACCATCTCCCTGGGCAGCCCCTTCCAACGCCCAACAACCTGTTCTGTAAAGAAATGCTTCCTAATATCTACTCTATACCTTTCCTGGTGCAATTTGAGTCCATTACCTCTTGTCCTATTGCTTACTACTTGGTTAAAGAGACTCATACACAGTTCTCTGCAGCCTCCTTTCAGGTAGTTGTAGAGGACGATGAGGTCTCCCCTCAGCCTCCTCTTCTCCAGACTAAACAACCCCAGTTCTCTCAGCCATTCCTTGTACAACATGTGCTCCAGACCCTTCACCAGTTTTGTTGCCCTACAGTTTGGGTTGGAAGGGACCTTTAAAGGCAATCTAGTCCAACCCCCCTGCAATGAGCAGGGACATCTTCAACTGGGTCAGGTTGCTCAGAGCCCCGTCCAACCTGACCTTGAATGTTTCCAGGGATGGGGCAGCATCACTTTGGATCCTGGCACCCCAGTTTAGAGGCCGGGAAGAAGCAGCAGCACAGACAAGGCAGAGATCCCAGGTCAAGGAACAAGTCCTGGAGACACTGAGCTTGCTGGTGTAGATGGGGTCACAGTAAACCTGGAAGCCACGCGCTGCACAGGTGCATGATCTGGACATGAAATAGATAAATGCGTTATGGTAACATTTCCTGAGATTTGCTGAGAATCAGGATACGTTTTGTTGTGTCCAGAGCCAGACTAAAATGGGCAAGTTACATCTAGACCCAAGGTTGTAAGTCCACACGACCCCCATCTGGATCCAAAGGGTTACCAGCCTCAGTCTTTTCACTCTGTGCCATTTGTGTGTTAGCTGTTTTAGGAGTAACTAAAGACACACAGGTATATTCACCAACGCCTAATGTAGAAGGTTTTTCCTACTGACCACTGCCTTAATACCACCATGTGGCAACAGGACATGAATAGAAAGGCTCAGAGATTTCACCAGCTGACATCATACTAGTACCAGACATGACTAATTTGTGGATTACTGACCATATTCCTATAATAACTCAAGAAGATTGAATAGCAGAGCTCCTGAGTATTTGTACTTTAAAAAAAAAATAAAAAAAATCTATTCACTTAAAAAGAAAAATCTATTGTATACCAATTCCCTAGTGGTTCTGCAGACAAATATATAGATTGACTGTGAATTAACACTAACGGGATCTGTAATTGACTTATAGTTCTATTAGTCATAAACATTAGCATTAATGGATGTTCATGGGGTACAAGTGCTAAAGAACAGACACTAGACATGGCCTATGTGTTATTTTTTTGCGTGCTACATTTCTTCCGTGACCCCATGAACCACAATTGATGTCTAATTCCTTGCTTTCTTAAGCATCTTTTGTCAGGCTCTGATGCAATGGTAACTTGAACAATAATTAGAGTATAAGGGACTCACAAAGCAAATGCCTCTTCAGTCGCTTGCCTATCCAGACAAAATTCAGTAAATGGCCCAATTATATTTCAGAGAGTTTCTGCAAAGGAGGTCTGTGGGGGTAGCTCTGCCATGTGGTGATTAGGACAGAGTGTGTTCAGCTGGAAGTCACAGTTCATGTACAGTTCAGGTCAGGAGCAGATGAAGGGGGGCTCAGTCCCTGGCCTGACTTTCAGGGGAAGGAATCATTGTGTGGCCACAAACAAGCAGTGAGATGGTCCCAGCTCAGCTTCACTGTGCCCTACACCGTCCCCTGGTGTAGGGCTGCTCTGAGTCATGGGTTGAAGGTGTCCACCCCCTTCCACTGATTGTAGCAGGCTGTGATCTTGGACATCTCTGATAAATAATTTAAATGATGTTAGGATCTAAGGCTCTGGGCTTTAATTTCTTTAGTTCTGTGAAAAAAGGCAGAGAAAGATCTCTTTCCTTCACCTGTAATATGTCCTGCCCACACATACTGTTAGCATTTTGGAAAGGGCAAATGTCCCTTACAGCATCTGGGATGCTCAGGGCTCTCACTCCTCACAGCTGTAGTCATAGTGGTTTTACAACCCTGGGTAGGATTTATCTGGCCAGATACAAATGTCTTTTCTATTGCCATCTGCATCTACTGAATCATCTTTCCATCAAGGATGATTTCCATGCGTCTGTTGTTTTAACTGTCTGTTTTAAAATGAGATAAATCCCTGTACGAGTACTTACTGCTCCCCATTAACTAAAAGCAAGTCCAAGTTGTCTAGCTGACAGGGAGACACAGGGCTTCAAGGCAGGACGGTTGCCTACATCTAAGTCTCCAGAGCTATTTTAGATATCCCACGATATCCCCCTGCTATCCCACTGCCCCATCCATGCCCCAGTGCCAGTAACGTGACTGTAATGGGATTCTGACCCTTGCACTGGGAACACCAAGGAGAGGCAATCAGGCCAGAGCTGAACTCACCCCTCACACCCTCACTTCTTCTGCGCCTGAGTGATAAACCAGTGCAGAAGTGACAAAAGCTCTTCCATCCTCTCACAAGATCTTGCGTTCTTTTACTGCTGCTAACATGGCTCCAAAACGGCAGATGAAGACCTGGGAAATAGAAATTTTTGAAGAAAAAGTTTGCAAATTAAAATTGGGTC